AGCTGGCTGTCAGCACAGAGCCCGATGCAGGGCTCGAACCCATGAACCGTGAGATCATGACCTGAGCCAAAGACACTAAAGTGACTGATCAAGACACTCAACTGACTGAGCCACCCAGTCACCCCTGGAGTTTGGATTCTGCATCTGTCAAATGTATATGGTAAGAGAGACAGTCAAGGAAGAAATTCTTTTTTGGTGGTTGATATTTTTTCCAAAAATCGTTTTGTTTCTTTTAAATGTTTTCATGCCCTTTAAGGATTCTGCCAGACAATATGTAGGCTCGCTATCTCCCCAGCACGGCATCACAAACAACCTAGGCAGAACATGATGGTCTTTCCACCCTCCAGGAGAGCCAGATACGAATCTATTCACTTCTGAGGACTCAGAAGCAAGGGAGTACAGGGTGGGGGTGGGGGGAGGATGCTCCTTACCTGAGCAGCCAGGGAAGCAGGATGTGTTATCCTTGATGAGGCCAGCTAAGGGCAAGTGAGCCTTTTCTTACTTCCCAGAGATCGGAAGGAGAGACTAGTAGAACCCTCCCAGACAGAGGTCACTTGATTAACCCTGCCCACGTTATTCTGATAACAAGGTCAAGTACTTCTCACTGTGAGGAATTTTCAATTTATTTCACAGACAAGATAGCTTGATCTGAGCCAGCATCATTGTTCCCTGGGGAAGCTAAGGGAGGAGAGCCAAGAGCCCTTTTCTGGGGCCTCATCCTCACAATCCTCTGGGTCCATCTGGCCAGGGTCCTACTTCTTCCCCTGCTGGGAGTTCTGTGTTGTATATTTACAAGAAAGCAGCTGGAGCATTAAGAGAGGGGTAAGGTCGGGGAACCTGGGTGGCTTAGTTGGTTAACCGTCCGACTTTCGCTTGGGTCATGATTTCTCGTTCGTGGGTTCGAGCCCCGCATCGGGCTCTGTGCTGACTGCCAGCTCAGAGCCTAGAGCCTGTTTTGGTCTGTGACTCCCTCTCTCTCTGACCCTCCCCTGCTCACGCGGTCTCTTTCTCTCTCCTAGAAATAAATAAAAAAAAAATTAAAAAAAAATTACAAAAAAGAGAGGGGTAAGGTCAGCCCTTTCCTACTTCAGTCAGGGATTTGGGTGCAGACTTCCAGGAGGAGTGGGGAGGGCGGTCCTTCCTGTTGTTTGGATCTGCTTTGCATTCGTTTACAACTTCTGTGGAATTTATTACAAAGGGAGTCACTTGCATTTGTCTGCCTGGTGTTACTTCTCTCCCCCTATTCTTCTTTGAGGAAGCATGTCCCTCTCCATTCTCTGTCCACTTGATTCTAGAGAGGCTTCCCGAACCCTTGATCCAGGCAGCATACTGGAGCCGGCACTCTGTCCATCTGACTACACTCTGCCCATCTGACTCCGGAACTTGTAAGAGACGCCTGCTTCACCCAGGCTGAGCCGGCTGGCTGTGCACGTGCAGCTCCCGTGCTGCTATTGGGGGAAGGGCGGCGCTTCCTGAGTGGGGCTGACCTGCCCACTAACTAGAGGCTGGAGCTTTCCGTGGCCATCCCTGCCTCCCTGCACACTGGCTTCCTTCTCAGACGGATTGTCCACATGGTAGCAAAGAGATGAGGAGAGAGGGAGAAGGAGTGTGTTGCGTGGCTCTGAATTCATCCGTGCCTGGACTATATCCTTGGACCTTCTAATGAAATAAGCTCATAACATCACTGGGTTTCCTTAAACTCGTTTAAATTGGATATCTGTCAGTTGCATCATAAATAAAAAGAATAAAGATTCAAAAACTCAAAGCAAAACAGAACATTTATCATTCATTTTCTGGGGCATCAGCCTTGGTACTTTTAGCAAACTGGTATCCAATCCACATCTCCAGCAGGGCGGAGTGGGGGACTGTGAGCTTGAGTGCCTCACAGAAACAGAGGCTGTGTCACCGCAGGCAAGTCACTGGCTTCTCTGTGTTGGGACCTCAAATTCCTTCACTTTAAAGGGAAGTCAGAGAGAAGGGTTCACACAGCTTCTTAGGTTGAAAACTACAGGTTTCCAATGGCAGCCCGTGTCGCAGCATCTGGACCCAGGGCTCACTTTTATAAGTTGATTTCATTATTGGACTTTTTAAGTCAGGGTGAGGACCTTCCCTACAACAAGGGCACTTAGCAAAGTGGTATCCAACGTGCTGGGTTTGGTATTTGCTCGGTTTGTTTCCTAGATAAGGCTGATACACTTGTAGTTTCCTTAAGCAGATTGATAATTGCTAGCCTGGTAGTTTGATTCCCTTCTTGCCGCAAATGCATTTGAAAACTCAGATAGGTCTTCCTCGCTCCTGCATAGTCACTCATGCACATTCTATTTCTGCCTGTCTTCGTTCACCTCTCAATTTTGTGTGATTTCATTCATTTCTCTTTTTCTTATTCTCACCAGTATCTTTCTTCAATACATGCCCTTGACCATCCCCAACAGTCTCTTTCGCAAGCTTAAACTTTCCTTTTGGGGGCATCTGTGTGGCTCAGTCAGTTAAGTGCCTGACTCTTGGTTTTGGCTCAGGTCATGATGTTGGGGTTTTTTGAGTTCAAGCCATACATCGGGCTCTGTGCTGGCAGTGTGGAGCCTGCTGGGGATTCTGTCTCTCCCTCCCTCTCTGCCCCACCCCCACTCACACTGCCTCTCTCTAAAAAGCAAACAAACAAACAAAAAACTTAAAAAGAAACTTTCTTTTGCATTTCCACATATTCTCTTGTTATCATAAGATGACCACAAATCATATGCTTACAACTGACTGAGCATTTAGTATAAGCCAAGTACTTTGCATATCATTTATTTGTTTGTTTGTTTACTTATTTTTGAGAGAGAGAAAGAGCACAAGCAGGGGAGGAGCAAGGACCAAAGGAGAGGGAGAGAATCCCAGGCAGGCTCTGTGCTGCCAACCAGCCCAGAACCCAGACGTGGGGCTCAAACCCACCAACCAACTGTGAGATTGTGACCTGAGCCAAAACCAAGAGTCTGACGCCCAAGTTACTGAGGCCCTCAGGTGCCCTGCATATCATTTCTTTAATGTTCTCTCAAAAACGACATAAAATAGGTATTAAGATTATGTGGCTTTGGCGAATTTATTTAACTTTCCTCGTCCTAAATTACTTCGTCTATAAATAATGGAAATAGTGGATATCAGAGCTGAAACTTGAAACATAGTTTACATGTTTCCACTCCCATGTGTTCTTTCTAATAAAATGGCTAATGTCCCCACAATGTGTGCCAAATGCTAAGTCACACAGGCTTCAAACAAGCCAGCTGCCTGGAGACCTCTGATTCAATATTTCCATCAATGACACCAGGGACAGCCACTCAATTCTCAGAATGTTGTCAGATGAGAGAGAGAATAAGATGAAACCAGAACTCCAGAGAAAAGAGCCAATACAATACACATTCCTACACAAGCAAAAGAAGCTTCACAGAGCATGCCTCTCTTCTGTCTATATTTCCCAGGAGAACATCGAGAAAATAGGATACTTTTAGGAAAAAAACAGAAAGTGTGAGAAAGAGTGATGCACAGATGATGGGATAGGAAATTAGCTGGCTCTCCATCTGGACTGTCTTCCATACTTGAAAAGATTAGACCCTGGATTTCATGGAGAACTGGTAAGATTGCCAGAGGAGGGACAATTGTACGTGTTCATACCTAAGGGCTGTGGACACTGATGTACCTCCCGCCCAGGTTCTCAGCTGTGGTGGGAGAGGACGCAATCCGTTTCCTGCTCCCACCAAGTCGCAGGTGCAGATAATTACTTGTGGAAAATAAGGGGATGCTGAGTGCCAGGGCTGAGCAGGGTCAGAGGCATATCTGATGGACCCCTGCTGCCGGCTCTTCAATCATGGTTCCCTAGGAAATGGATGTCAACAGGGCTCTCCAGGACAGCTTTGTTCTTCCTCACTTGTACAAGGAGGAAATTACAGAAGTGAGCCTGCTGCCAAGTGAGAAACCAGGGTGGAAAGGAGGGTGTGTGCTGGGAGGGGGGCCAGGCTGTAATGCGGGGCTGTTGTTATAAGGCTGTTACAGGAGGTTCTCGATCCATCCTGGCAGACTACAGATCATGGGACTAGATTATGGGCTCACTGTAAGCAAACCGGAAAACTCCACGTGCTCGAGGGGGAAAAGCCAGTATTTATTCAGAGCCTGAGAAGAATCCTGTTTTTAATCTCTCTGCCAGAAAGAACTGAGAAACCAGAATCATGTAGTCTCTAATCAGGTAACCAGAGCAAGACTGATCATCTATTTTAACTAAGTAGATGATGAAAAAAGGGGGAAAGGGGAAGGAGAGGGGAACAGGAAGAAGAAGAGGAAGAAGACAAAGAAAATCAGTATAATAACAATAATCCTCACTACACAGATAAAAGAATCTTTTGAAGTTAAAAAGAAGAGAGGTATAGGCCAAAGATCAAAGGGCCAGGAAAGAGACACACACACACACACACACCAATCGAATACTGCAAATTAGGAGCACATGAGGAAAAACTGGATCCCACACAACCACTACAGGTTATTTGGAGCTAATATTATTTTACTTATTATAAACACAAAACAGATTATCTTCACATAGTGGTGATAAAGAGGATTCATGATTTGTATACAAGTCATACCTTTTACAAAAGACATCATGCATGTCACGCCATTTGATTCTCACGACGCGCTTGTGATAAAAGTAAGAAAAGGAGTAAATGGGTTCATCTTCCATGTAGTATTCAGCCACTTGCTTTTTCTCTCACTTAATATCTTGGACAATTTGTCACACAGATTTATCTAACTCGTTGTAAGTACTGTGTCCTATAGTGTGGAGATACATTCCGGGTAGTTCAGTCACCCCCTACAGTCACCACTCCTGCGTGACTCTGTAGTAATAATCACCAGACTATGGATGAGAAACAGCTAGTGTGCTCACTCTCAAGTTCAGTGCCCTCAGAGCTGCTGTGCTGGTGGTTGCTACCAGTGGGGGTGTGGCTCAGACTGCGCAGAATGTCACCTTGGGGACTCACCTGCTCCAGGTCCTCCGCTGACCTTTTATTTTCTCCAGTCGGATCCTGATAGGGCAAGACAAAGAGCTCAGCGGTGGTAGGTAAGCCAGGGAGCACTGCCACCAAGATGTGCTGGCTTGGGACCCCTGTGGCCTGAGGGAGAGACAGAAGTGCCTGTAAGTCCCACCGAAAAAGATGGTGAGAAGCATGGAGAAGAAAGGAGTACTCAGTGCGGTGAATGCAGGTAGGGAGGAAGGACTTGAGCTTTATGGAAAGGGGAAATGACATGGCACAAGGCAGCTGAAGCCTGTGCCGATGGCATTCCCGGGGGCGAAGATGGAGATTTCTCCCCAAGGGATGTGGGGGCTGCATCTCTATTTCTGCCGCAGGACAGATGGCAGATGGAAGAAGGTTAAACAGTGGCCCAAGGCCACCCAGGGAGTATGTGGTGACACTGAGTCTGGAACTTTTGTCTGACCATGAAGCCCTTGTTCTTAAGCAAGGCTGTACTGCCTTCCTTTGCCTGATGCTTATTTGTAGCAGCCCCAATCCCAGCTAATGCCTTTTATGGCCCTCCTCGATTTTAAACTCAGATGTTATATGGGAATCATCCTCATTCTATGCAAAAAATGTTGACTGAATGATGTTTGAGTAAAGATTTCACTGTGAAGTTCCAATAGAAAAATCCCATTTGATGAGGTAACGGTAACTGATTTTTAGACCACATTCTGTTACATAGTAAATAGGAAAAAAACCTGCAAAGAAATTGACCCCAAGTTGTATCTCTTATAGGGTTTATTAGAGTCCAATTGATAGTATGATACCTTAGGGGTTTTGGGAGTAGCCACATATAACTACTCATCTCAAAGACAGGGTGGGATGCTAGGGGCCAGGTCAGCTGCCTCCTGACATTGGGTAGCCAAGGAGTCTTTGAAATTGAAAGGGATTGGCCCCTCTACCCTCCAACACCCTGTCCTGAGAGATGTTGAGTCAACATGTTTATTCTGCGTTTAGCTGATTATGCTAGGCAGCGGCCTGGAAATAGTGATGAGCAGGAAGTTCTAGTCTTCTGGACAGCTGGTGGAAAGGTAGAGGCCCAGGGGATGTGATCCCTAGACTAAAGATGTGAAGAGAAAGCAGCCTGGAAGACCAGTCACTGCCGAGCAAATGCCTGGTTGATAAATCACCTGCGAGAGTCCGGCAGCTACCTGGGATGCCTACAGGGACATGGATCCCCAGAAGGCTGCAGATGGAAGGAAGGGGTCTGTGGGCCCATTGAGGGGTGTGAATCACCTCTCTTGGACAGCGCAGGAGAGAAACCAGTTGTCACATCAGGGACAAACAGCTCCAAGGGCAGAAGGATCTATTCCAGGGGCCCTGTAGTCTAGTAGCTGCACCCCCTGGTGGCCATGATATTTAGCCACCGTCGAAGTCATGAAAGGTGAGTCATGAAGACAAAGGTGAGAGGGCATTTACACAGAGGCACATGAAGGCGGCCCTTCTCCACCCCACTGTTCCATGTATTCCCGTTTCTCCATGTAACAAAGGATGGCCATAGAATGGAGTGGTGAGGATATCATGAGGGGCGTCGATTCCAGAGTCTGATTTTTATTACTGTGGCCAAGGGTGGGGTACCTAAGGTCTCTATGTTCAGTTTCCTCAGGTTTAAAATGGGAATTATCATAGTACCTACATCGTAACCTAGGTCTTTTGTTTTTGGTTTTGTTTTTTTTTTTAAACTGAACAGTGTGTATTTTTTAAAAATATTTTTTAATTTATTTTTAGGAGAGAGAGAGAAAGACAGCGTGAGCAGGGGAGGGTCAGAGAGAGAGGGAGACAGACTCTGAAATAGGCTCCAGGCTCTGAGCTGACAGTCAGCACAGAGCCTGACGCGGGGCTCAAACCCACGAACCGTGAGATCATGACATAAGCGAAAGTCAGACGCTTAACCGACTAAGCCACCCAAGCGCCCCATAACCTAGGTCTTTTGTCATTAAATGTACTAAAAAATGCAAAGCACTGAGAAGAGTTTTTGGAATATTGTTAAATGCTACATAAATATCAACAAAGATAATGGCATGAAAGAGGGCAAGGCCAGCCCTTTGCCAACAAGCTGAGATCAACAAGAGAAAACAACAAGAGATCTGTTTTCTGAGCAGGGGTTATCTGAGTGCTTTTAACCCATCAGCTCTTTGTGTCACAAGGCATGATGTGCTGGGTCCAGGAAACAATGTCTTAAACACCCTAAACTGATTTTCCTTTTTAGGCTGGGAAAATACCCGAGGGAGAGATAGCTCATCTCTGATTTTCTGGGTTTGTGCAATAAATCCATGCAGCTCCCTGAGAAGATATCTCGATCCTCTGCTCACTCATGAAAGTGGCATATGCAGGGGGAGATGAAGAGAAGTGTTTGCCCAGATTATCAGAGATACTCAGACAGGGATCAGCCACACATCTTGGTGTTCTCACAGAAAACTTAGGGGGCTGTGTTTCATGTGTACAAACCCGGACATTGGATACAGACCCTTCACTTCAATTCAGTAGCTTCATCACTTACTAGCTGTGAGACCTAAACAAGATATGTTAACTCGCTGAAACTCAGCTGCTTTGCCTGCAAAATGAGGGCAGTAATACTCTCCCAGTGGGGTGGCTACAGGAGACAAACCTTTAAGAGAACTGAGATAGAGAGAGACAGCTAACCGTTGTGTGCTGCGTGCTCACTGCCTGTGGGGCTGGAGCCCAGGGCTGCTCTCGCTAATCGTATTCATTCTGTGTCCCTTCGGTGTTGAGCAGGTGGCCGATCTTACACTTACTAATGACCTGATCGTGAACCATGCTGCACAAACAGGATGGTCATACATTTCCATGGTTTTCTTCTCTAGGCAGAAGACAGGTTTCACAAGGCCTAAGGACCATGTGTTCATTCACAGTCTCATCCCCCTGTGCCGAGCAACTATGCTGCGTTTGCCTGTATGGGGGTTCGCTACGCAGACAGCAGGTGTTCAGCCTGACCTCCCATGGGCTCTAGCTCTTGACTGTCAGCTCTCTGCACAAGACTCCCTCAGCATGCAGCTCCTGGAAGGGACAAGAGAGGGAATTGTCTGCACTCACTTCCACCAGAGACTTTTTGATGACTCGGCTGATGTCCCTCCTCCACTCCGGGATATCAGGGTTGTAGTCATCCAGGTTCGGAGAGAAGGACAGGCGAAGAGACCGGAATTCCTCTGAGGAGAGACAACAGTAGGGTGATCACTGTAAGTCTATGAGTTTTCTCAGAAGTGTGTTGTATTTTATGTTTTATGCAAAGCCTTCCTAATGGGTCTTTTTCCTCCACACTTGCCAGAGCTTTCTGGAAGGAAAATCTGCTATCCCATTCTAAATCTGCTATGTCTCTCAGCCTTTATTTTCTAAACCAAAGCCTTAAGTCTGGCCCATGCCTCTCTCTGCAGCCTTCATTTACTGTTCCTAGCTCTTGACTGTGCACTCACGGACTCGAAAGCCATAGAATGCCCTGAATACATGGTGGGTTTCTGACGCTGAGCCTCTGCACATACTGTTTGTCCCTTCCCAGGAGCACCGTTTCCTTTTTATCGTCCACGCACAGGGTATTCAAGCTCTAGCTCGAGCACTTACTGACTGAATACTCTCCTTACTATGTTTCAAGATCCTTTTTTAGGGCTCTACTGTGCCTTGCACATATCCCCATTATGTATTCTTCTTCTTACTATTATTATTATGTGATCGCATGATTCTAATTATTATTATTGTCATTCTGTTGCTATGTTTTTGTTTGTATGGACCTTTCATTTGATGGAATTTTAAGCTCCTTAACCCAAATAATTTGTTCACTGTCTCTGTAGCCCCTGAGTTCGTCTTGGTCCTCAAGAAAGTAAGATGGGATGACCAAAGCAAGGGTCTGTTGGGGAGAATATGGGAAGCTAGAGGAGTTTGGAGAACCACAATACCAAGATGCATACTCAACACTTATGGAAAAGGGAGGAAGGCTTGGTGACCGCCCTGTGAGGAAGGTTCAGCAGGACCATCAGGGAGTCTCTGAGTGCACATCAGCGACAAAGGCGTGCCCTGTGTCCCGGGAATGGGTCTGCTTTAATATCCCTGTCACACTCTGTCATTAGCTGGGATCAGCACATGCGAGGTGTGGCCTTGGCCCAAGCACAGTGACGGGTATCAGAGCCCAGCCCTGGAGAACTTAGCTGAGCAAGAGCCAGGTCATGTTGCTGCCCTAAAACCTACTAGTGGACCCACATGACATTTAGAATAAAAATTCAGCTTCTTAACCATGGCCTGCATAGCCCCACCTAACCTGGTATATAGGCTTTCTCTCCTGCCTCTCATCCACAGGCTCCCCCTGTGCTCCAGGACCCTGTTGTACACCTGCTCCTTCCCACGTTCGCACTCCTCCACTTCCCCAGACACAGCACAGGTGGCTCCTTCTCATCATTCAGTCTCTCCTGGGAGAAGCCTTTGCCACTAGCAACCTGAGGTATCCTCCCTTCCGCTACCTCGACACCCTTCATCATGCAACCCTCTTTGTCATCTTCATACTTCTGGCCACGTGAAGTATTATGTTCTTATTGTCTGTCTCCCACACTGAAATACTAGGTCAACAAGGACAGTGACTCTGTGCTCCTGGCCCTGTGGGATGGGGCCTTGCACAAGGTAGGTTTTTCTAGTCATTTAATTAATAAATTTTTGTTCAGTAATGCATAAACTTCGCTAGAGGCTCTCTGTAATTTATGCATGTACTCCATTTCTTTCTGGTTTTAAGTATGTCCTCATGTGTCAGTGGTGGCTCAGTGACACTGGCAGTGCCAATTACACATTCAGAAAACACAAGAGCCCACTTCTGCATTTCCTAACAATGCTGAAGGCTGTGAAGACTCTTAAACTATAAGGTGTGTATTATGGTGGTTAGCCTGTTCCAAAGTCTTATTTTTCAGAGCCCGTCTATTCTATGACACACTGGTCACCTATATGAATACAACCACTTCAGTGCTGATGGAGAATAATGAAATGCATCTTAATTAGCATCATGGAAACATGGAAGGCCCAATGGAGCCCTAATTTTTCACTTTAAACATGTAAGTTGATGTTTTTTAAATTTTCCCTGAACCTCTTATCAAACCATAGAAACTCAATCTATAATGGAAGGTGTTTATCTTAATAAACAGATGCAAACACAAAACCGATACAGCTCTCTCTGTAATAACTTAGCAGGCCCAGCAGCAGGGCATAGGAGTTGTACACGTCAGTTTACTCAACAACAGGAGATGCATGTAGGAGCACTGAAAAACGTAAAGAGCAGAATTGAATGAATAAATAAATAAATATATACATACATATATCCATACAGTTAAGCCTTGAACAATGTGTAAGTTAGGATGCCATCCCCCACTTGGCACCCCAAAATCGACATTTAACTTTTGGCTCCTCAGAAGTTTATTAAACTTTTTAAAAATGTTGTATTTATTTTTGAGAGATAGGGAGAGACAGGGTGTGAGCAGGGGAGAGGCAGAAACTGAGGGAGGCACAGAATCCGAAGCAGGCTCCAGGCTCTGAGCTGTCAGCACAGAGCCTGTCATGGGGCTCGAACTTATGAACCGTGAGATGAAGTCAGATTCTTAACCGACTGAGCCACCCAGGCACTCTGATGCTTAACTATTAATAGTGTACTGTTGACCAGGAGTCTTACTTATAACATGAATAGTTGATTACCACATATTTTGTATGTTATGTTTCACATATGGTTTTCTTAGAATAAAGTAAGCTGGAGAAAACAAAATGTTATTAAGAAAATCATGGGAAGAAAAAATACAGTACAGTCTTGTACCGTATTTATCAGAAAACTCTGTGTATAAGTAGACCTGCATAGTTTAAACCCATGTTCACAGGCCAACTGTGGGGTGTGTGTGTGTGTGTGTGTGTGTGTCTGTGTGTGCGCGCTCACACACATGCATTTGTACTTGCAGCATATTTACTTTTTTTTTGTATTTAAAAGCAAACCTGTGCCCTGCAGCAAATTAAGAGAAATAATGCAAACTAGATTTTCTTTCTGATAGTCTATTTTGTGGCATTGGATAGACAATCTTTTCCCAATTTCCCAAACATAATGCTTCCTTCAGTCTGACCATGATGGCCTTAATGTTCCCCTCAGCTTAACTAAATTTAGGCAAATTTCTTCCTGACTGCAGCCTCTGACCTCCCTTTTCTTAAGAGCATTTACTTTAGAAAATTTGCCATTGTAGATTCCTTCCCTGTTTTTTTTTTTTTTTTTTTTTTGAGATGCACATCTCCTCCAACCCAGGAATGTCTTCCTTAGCGACCTGGGAACCATATTTTTGAGCAACCATCAAGAAATATAGAAAAATAGTATGGAGTTCCTCAAAAAATTAAAAGTAGAATGGCCATATGATCTAGGAATTCCACTTTGGTGTATTTACCTGAAGGAAACAAAAACACTAACTTGAAAAGATATCTATCTGCTGCACCCCCATTTTCACTGCAGCATTATTTACAATAGCCAAGATATGGAGATAACCTAACTTTCCATAGACAGATGAATGGATACAGAAAGTGTGGTATACACGTACAATGGAATATTATTCAGCCATAAAAAGAAAGAAATTCTGTCACTGGTGACAACATGGAGGAATTCTAAGGCTATTCTGCTAAGTTAAATAAGTCAGACAGAGAAAGACAAACACTGTAGGATCTCACTTATATGTGGTCTGAAAAAACAAAAAACAAAAACAAAACCTCAGATACAGAGGACAGATTTGTGATTGCTAGAGGCAGGGGTTGGAAGGTGGGCAAAATGGGTGAGGGGTAAAGAGATACAGCTTCTAGGTATAAAATAAAAAAGTCATGGGGATGTAATATATGGCATGGTAACTATAATCATTAATACTGCATTGAATATTGAAAATTGCTAAGACAGTTAAAAAGTTCTCATCATGAGGGAAGAAAGAATTGTAACTATATACAGTGCTGGAGGTTCACTAGACTTGTGGGGATCAATTCATAATATATACAAGTAATCACTGTGTTGTATACCTGTAACTGATATAATGTTATATGTCAATTGTATCTCAATACAAAAAAATCAGATCAACATACTCTTTGAGTACCATGAAAGGAAGGAAGGAGGGAAGGAAGGAAGGAAGGAAAGAAGGAAGGAAGAAAGGAAGACAAGCAGATACAACAGACATCTACCTGTGATACGGCAGGAGCCTAACTTTCATGAGGACCAATAAAACAGTCAACCTAATCACACTGATAATCCCCCCACCTCCAAATTCCTCACTTTTCCACTAGGTCATCCCAGGGTTCAAAAATATTCCTGGGGCGCCTGGGTGGCTCAGTCGGTTAAGCGGCTGACTTTGGCTCAGGTCATGATCTCAGAAATTTGGTTAGAGGAGGAAAGACTACTTCCATGCTCAAGCTTTTGACTGAGATAATTTTAGTGAAGGTAGTTCACTTGATGGAGAGTGAACCACTCTTGGATGACACCTTTAAAGACATTTTAGGGAGAAGAATAACTAAGCCTGGCAAGGGGGTGGAAGATGGTTAGAAACATTCCCTCTGGATTGAGATTCCTAGGCCCTATCCGTTTATGATACTTATCACATATTTTCTCATTTGAAAAATAGTAAATACAGCATATTGCCCATAAGTCTGCTCAGAGGAGTCAATAAAACATCTTATGTATCAAGTGCTCTGATCGGATGCTGGCTTTGTCAATGTTAATTTCTACGACTACCATCGCCATTATTATTATTACCGAAGCTGTCACTGAATAGCAGAATGACTTAAAACCAGTAATTTCCTATTTCTGGGCTACAATTTCCTATCTGTGAAATGACATTTTATGACTCTGACACCCAGCCATGCGACGAATAGTATCCTCAGACTTGTTCAAAAGTGCTTACAAATTGCTTTTTGAATTTGAAGGTCAAGTTGGCAAGATGAGAAACGAAAGGCAGTACCTGCATCAGAGCCAATTAATTCTGGGACTGGGGCAATTGATAATATTTGGACCGATAGCTAGTTTCTCTCTGTCTCTCTTTTTCTGTCTCAATCCTGGTCTCACCCTCCTTCCCTTCTTCCCTCCCTTTTGCTCTCTCTCTCTCTGCACAGCATTACCTTTCCTATCTACTTTAATTTCCCATGATGCGTCTATACCACTTTCATATTAACAATAATTTTCACATTTTTATCATCTGCCTATAATACTCAGTGCATACCCATCTATCTTTTGGTGTTGAAAAAAAAAACCTACCAAAATAAGATTGATTTGTATAAACTGTCTTTAATCCCCCATTTGCGGTCAGGGATCCTAACCATTTCAGTAAATTTTCCTTCTGTGCAATATTCTGACTATATTAACTTCCCCAACTGATTAGCAGATTGTCCTGTATCGTTGCTTGTTCAACCAATATCCAATCGATGATACATGACATCTGCATGACACTGCTTTTAATCTATCAGTTTTTTTTTTTTTTTTTTTTTTTAATTTATTTCTAGGAGAGAGAGAGAGAGACAGCGTGAGCAGGGGAAGGTCAGAGAGAGAGGGAGTCACAGACTCTGAAACAGGCTCCAGGCTCTGAGCTGGCAGTCAGCACAGAGCCCGACGCGGGGCTCGAACCCACGAACCGCGAGATCATGACCTAAGCGAAAGTCAGACGCTTAACCGACTAAGCCACCCAGGCGCCCCTATCAGTTTTTTTTTTTTAATGATATACATTTGTGGAAGAGATCTTCAAAATATTTAGATAATGGTAGATTCTTCTCAATAATCAAGACTCTTAGTGTTAAACTTTAATTGTTCTAAGTTTATTTATTTATTTTGAGAGAGAGAGAGAGACAGCAAGCATGAGTAGGACAGGGGCAGAGAGAGAGGGAGAGAGAGAATCCCAAGCAGGCTCCATACTGTCAGCACAGAGCCTGATGTGGGGATCAAACTCATGAACTGTGAGATCATGACCTGAGCTGAAATCAAGGGTCAGACACTTAACGGACTGAACCACCCAGGTGCTCCTTAAAGTTGAAATTCAACAAATGCCTCAATATGATCTTTTTATTTAATAATGGGGATGTTACCTATTCAAACACCACCAAAATATCAATGGAATGAATCAGCTTTACACATAATGAAACTCATTACACCCTCGTCAGGTAAGTGAGTGTATAGTTGCCTGACGTACACCAGAACCACTTTCAGAAAGCAAACCAGTAAGTGTTCCCGGGGTCTTATGACAATAATTGTGTCACTGAACCGCCTGTTCCCCAAAGGAGGAGCTCAGACCTGACTCAGCTCTTTCTCCACCACTACTCTCTTTTCTCTGGGTGGAGGTCACATGCCAGGGTGGCCTGCGTGACCAAAGCACCACACTACCACATCTGAGCTCATGGCCAATAAGGGGTTAGTGCAGACAGGCACTCACCATACACTGCGATGCTCTTCGTGTCCTGCAGGATGGCATTCCCAGCAGAGACCTGGACTGTGATGGTGTTCATACCCTCAGAAGTAAACTTGAATGATATGCTTCCCTCCAAGGTGATCAGAGGCTAAAATGGGTGAAGGCACAGAGTGAGAGGACAGCTGTTCAATTACAGATGAGACACCCGCTAACTAAGAGCCACCAACAAGCCACTTAAGTCAGCATGGGCTGTTCCTAGGGCGCCCCAGTGTGACCAGCTCCATGTATGCCTCCCCATCATCTCGAGTCCAGGCCAGAAAGGAGCTATGAGAGCATGGCCCCAAGTGACTCTGCCCATTCCTTGTGGATATGACACCTCTCTTCTGGTATCTTTATGCATCGATCTGGGGAGACTGACAGGCCTTGGTAGCAGGTGTGATATAGATCTCTATCTGTAACCTACTCATAGCCGGCAGATCCCTTAATAGAAAGAAATACTCAAATCAGACCAAAACAGGCAGCTCATATGAATCCAGATGTAAGCAGTAGTCACTGAAAATCTGTCAGCTTCCAGTTGTTTATCTCTGGCGTGCACCATTTATAGAAAATTACAATGGAAAACAGAGAGCATGGACTCCAAAAGTGTACTAGTTAGACTGGAGTGGCCTCGTGTGGCTTGGTTCCTCTGAGAAGCCCTATCAGCAGTTTTTGGAAGTAGCTGCTATGGAAACAAGTACTAATTGGATAGTGGTTTGAGGACTGAAAAAAAAAAAAAAAGGACTTGGAGTGGTGCCTATAATATAATCGGATGCCGGGGTCCTGGAGGAAAAGATTATTAGCTTATTGACCTCCCTCAACTCATTCCTCACAAACATTTCTTTCCTGTCTTTTCTTAATTAATTTTAAAATCTAAACTCAGGTTATTCCCTGTATGGCAGAGGAAAGACTAAAGCCCAGCATAAGAAGTCTACTCAACATAATCTGTCGAGAATTTGTTTTTTCACTGAAAGGTTAAAAAAAAAAAAAAAAAGGAGACGTGGAAGAAAGTTGTTCCATATGTTCACCTTCTAGCACCAGCTTTCAGGCAAATAATTTAGATTTCTCCTCTGCCACTGTGGGTAGCTGGCCCAATTTGGGCCCAATTTTTGTGTGGTTTCAGAAGAAAAGAAGCTTCTTTTCAGCAGTTGAGTTAAATTAGCTGATGAGGTGAGCGTTTCCTTCTCCTGCTGGGTATATAGCAGGGCTGGGGTCATGGGAGGGATCTTCCCAGGGCCTGTGTAAAATTATTTTTTTTACATAAAAATAAATATTTTTTTTACATAAAAAAGTTAAAGCCAACATGCAGCTCTGGGGTAGACACAGATTTGTACTGAAATAAGATGCACTATATTTGAAGAGCAAAGTCACCAAGTGCAAGAAAACAACTCTGTTGGAGGAAGATGAAGTGTGCAAGTCCCACCAGCTCATCCCAGCACCCTCTGGGGAGGCCTGGGTCCGGCTGCCTATACTGACGGAAGAGAATTTGGAAGCCAGTTTGAATCTCTGAGGATGGAGTAAGTTCAAAACGGAGCCTGTAGCCCCGTATGAGGGGAGAACAACTCACGTAGGCGTGGGGAGGCCTTGGATCTGGCCTCCTGGGGAAGCAGCCAAAGGAGGTGGGGAAATCACCGCATGTGTGTCCTCAGTTTTACAGTAAGTGAGGTTTATGGTCTCTAAGGAGATTAAAGGTGCTGCTCACTTCTGGTCAGAAGCTACATTTCTGGGAAAATGTAGCTGGGGCTACGTCTAATTCAGGGTGAGAAGGCCATTTGGGGGCTGGGTTGTAGTAAGTATTTGTTGCTTTGGACTCTCTGTTATCCACTGGCTTTTCTTTTTGTTCCTTTTTGCGGACCACTTTCTCCCCTCTCGGACCATGTGGTTCCAAGGGAGGCTGATTTCAACACCTCTTTTTCCACCCCCAGCGCTGGGAAGGCTTGGTCAATAATACTCCATTCTGGGACTTCTGTAAGAACTTCTGTGATAGACATTTTCCCTGCTAAGCTGTGAGAGTTAAAAAGCTCAGGTTGCTGCAAAGGGCCTTTGAAAAGGCAAATCTAACTGCATAAGAAGGCCAACATGGAGGAAGGTAAGGGGTATGGGTGGCGCAGTGAGAGACAGAGGGACAAAGGGAACAAACTGATGAGATTACTGGAGCACTGAGAGCCTGCCGTCCCCGAAGCTAGGACTACCCCAGCCCCTCGGGTTACATAAGCCATCTCATTGCCTGTTTTCCCTGAGCTAGTCTGAGCTGAGCTGCCACTGGATGCTCCGTGGAAGGCTGACCCACCTCCGTGTTGTTTCCATACCACCACACGTAAGTGAGGGTGCCCACTTGGCTCGGCCACAGCACTGCAGTTGCGTTGACCTCTTTGTTCTTCGTGGTGACAAAGGGAAGAGACAGGTGTACATGCTCCAGGGGACCTGAGGCACAAGAGAAGAGACGAGGCATAGAGGGGGAGCAGCTTTCTCTGCTTCACCTTCCCTGCTCTGAATACGTATTAGTTCTGGAAGCCTCCAAAACATCACAGTCCCACTCCCTGAGGAAAGTGCTAGGGGTGTTCCCTGGTTTGGAGAAAGATGTATTGTGACCCATTCATTGTATCTCAGTATTTTCCACTTACTGGTCTTTCTCCTAGGTGTAAAACCCGAGTTACTTTTGTGTAAAACCTGAGAAATTTACAAGTGATGTATGAAGTCCTTACAAGAAGGGGTGCGATATGAGACCTCATAGGAAGATGCAAAGTCTTTCCAAGAGGCCATATCCACAGTGGTGAACCGGGATGAAGGAAACCTCAGGAAACCCGTGTGGGTGGGCAGGGGGAGCTGGTGGTGGTGGGGCCTCCACAAATCCCCAAACCACTTTAGATGTGATTATTCTTTACTCTTTGTTGGATTTTAAAGATCTGTGTATGTGTAGACACATGTGTATGTGTGTGAGAGTGTGAGTGAGTGTGTCTCTCTACGTGAGCTTATGTAACGCCACCTGTTTGGTGTTAAGGTGAGCTTGTCCAGGACAAAGCGTGCACGAGCAGGGAGAGATAGTCCTGTGGTTCTCGGGTTCTCAGGATGTGCTCAACTGGAAAAAAGGGGGTCAATTCTAACTATGGCGGCCCGCTAGACAGACAATATTACCCACATTCTGACCTTCAACTATAAAGCACATGCTCAGAACTCAAAAATCACCGACTTGACTCCGGACTCAATTAGGAAACAAATGTTTCTAAGAAATTTATCATTTCTGTACTCACCCCCCATTCTGTAATCTCCATATCTTAATGGGAAAAAAAATGTTTATCCAGGGCACCAACCCAGAAACATAAAGTCAGTGTAGATTCCTTACTCCCTGTCACCCATTCTATGTTAGAAACCACTGATTTGGTTTCATAAATAACCTTCAGTTAGAGCTCCTCTCACTGTCCCCAATCCTTCCCTGGCTCATACACCTGGACTGTCATGTTCCACGCATATCTTCCAGCTTCCAACCTGCTCCCACACTAATCCACCCTCCCACTCTATGTGTTCACTGCCTGCCTGGCTCAGTAACAGATAAGCTGCACCAAGGGCCAGGGTCCTCAGCACCCAGAATAAAATATGCTCCAGGGTGCATGTAGAATAAGTATAAAGATACTGAGGAAGAGGTGGATCTCCGTGTTTATGGAATAACAAGAAAGCTCAAGTGGCTGCAGTGGAGAGATGGAGGGAAACAGTGTAAGCCGATGAGATCTAAGAGGTATTTGGACACATAGCATGTCAGTGTGTAGACTCTGAACTATGGATATGTGTTTTGTATGAGTTAATTCCTGCATGTATACACATTACACGTTCACACAATGTATGGCAATGACGACGTACCTCTGACACTACAAACTGTTGTGAGAGTGATTTTTCTAGAAAGCCAAGTTGATCATGCTACTTACTTTTTCAAAACTAAAATTCGCAGTACCTAATAATAATGATGATGATAGTAACACATATTGATCTAAAATTTGTGAGACAGAGAAAATAGGCTGCCAACTTTTAGAAGGTAAAAGTCTTTCATATTTACCTTTATATGTATAAAGACTAGCACAGATCCTGAGATGTAGAAGACAATCGAATATTTTTGTTGGGCAAATAAACAGATGATGCAATTTCTTGTTTCTGCTTTTGTCTATGCTTCTCTCTAGAATTAGAGGCTTGGTGACCAGAATACAGAACAGAATTGATTTCCCAGTTTATAAGCCATCTGATAAGAAGTAGTTGTTCATAAGTCAGAATGGTTTGAGGAGATAATAAAAGGGCAACATTCACTGAGTGATGACTATGTGCTACATATTCTGCTAATGACCCTTTTGATTCTTATTTGCTACTCACAACAGCCTTATGAAGTAGGCGATACTATCATGTCCACTTAGAGATGAACAAACAGAGGAAAGTGACTTTCCCAAGGTCATGCAGCTAGGAAACATCCATCCCGGGGTGTGAGCCAAAGAAGTCTAAGTGTAGAGCTCATGCTTTAGCGAGCTGACAAAGGCTCAAAAGACCTTTCCCATTTTAACAAAATAGCTATTTAGAGTCAGTATCTACTGATTACTTAAATACATTCCAGGCATTGGCAAATGCACTTTACACATGCTCTCATTTCTTACATGGCTCTTGCTGTGCCCCGATCACTCAGTTTGCTCTAGCAGCAAGGCCCTGTTCAGCCTTGAGGTCTTGGCTTAGACACTTCTCTCATGGCAACTGCCAGTCTTCAAGTCTCAGTTCCAGTGACCACTCTTCCATAATGCTCTTCCTGACTCCCCTGATCTGAGTTAAATGACTCAGCTAGAAGATGCGGGCTGGATGAGCTGTGTGAGACACGCCAGTTCCATTCTAAAGGGGTTCATGTATGAGTGCTTAATATATATTTTAAGTCAGAATATCAAAATAAGGATGGAACCTGTGTGTCCTATTAATGGCAACAGTTCAATCTTCTTAGTGAATGATGGTCATTAATTCATTCAGTAGTTTAGGAGTGTTGCCATATGTCAGGCATTATTCTAGGTGCTGGGCAGGCACTTGGTGGAGCCTCTGTATTATTGAGGGAGGCAGGAACTGAACACATAAAGCAGGAGTATGTGATAGAGTGCTATTTTTGTTTCTCAGAAGAAATGACATTGGAGCAGTGACCTGAAAAAAGTGAAGGAGTGCACCGAGTACTATGTGTGATGTGTCAGGGTGAAGTTAAAGCAAGTGTAAAATCTTGAGGAGGAAGTCTGCTTGCTGTGTTTGAGGACTAGCAAGAAAGCCCAGTGGCGGCACGGGAGAAATGGAGGGAAAGAACAGAAGCCAAGGAGATCTAGGATTCAGGACACATAGCATGTCGGCTTGTAGGCCACGAAGTACGCGTATGTTTGAATGAATTCATTCAAATATTTGCAATTTACCTTTCATATTCCCACCTTGTCTTTTGTCTTCATTTACTTTTTTCTGCATTTAACATGCCTAGTTTCTGCTGCCCCAAACATATCTTTTAAGCATCTCTTCTATGTAAAGAGGGTGCAGTCTGAGCTAGGGGAGCAGCGGAAGCAAAACTCCAGCCCCTGGAGGCCCCCAGCTGGCGGGATGCACTAAATCTAGAGCCGAACCAGCCAGCAGATGTAGCTCCATCACACACGTGCCTGCGATGCACAAGAAGGGCGGCAGGTGGCACTGCATCACTCCATATGAATCTTCGTGGCAAGGTGGTTGAGGGAACTGGGAAATCAATTGTGTGAATTGGGTTTCCCTTCTCTTTTCTTGTTTAGTCCTAATGTGCTGCAGGAAGCAGCTGACATCTGTGAAGCTGGACATTGTGTGTGTGTGTGTGTGTGTGTGTGTGTGTGCGCATGCGTGCACATGCAATCAAACATGCAGTGATTGTTTGGGACTGTCTCTACCATTTGTCCTGGAGACCATCAAATTAAATATTGTGTATGCATTGCATTGCTGTTTGTCCAAAATGTGAAAATGCTCTAGAAGAAACAAAAGTAGTTCAAAGTATAAAGATGAGATCCTAAAACAGAGTCCCTTAAACTGCAATGTGCATATGGATCATACTAATCTGTTGAAGGCACATTATGATGCACATTTCTAGAAATTCCAATGCAGCAGGTCTGGAATGAACACTGTATTTCTGTCATGCAATTCTGGGATGGGTGACTCATTCAACCACACTTTACAAAACTCAAGTCTAACATTTGCTGGCCAAGGTAACAATCAAATGTGAAATGGTGCAAAACTACATAGGTTTTCAAGGAACTGATCACTTCACCCTAAGATAAGAGCAGAAAGGCATCTGTAAAATGCACCTGTGATTAGGAGGTAATTGCAGAGAGATCTGGAAAGAACTACAAAATCTGCCTCAACTACTTTCTTTTAACCTCTCATTTTGCAAATCTGCACTGTATTCGGTGACTTTTTCCCTGCAAGACCGGCTGAGATAGGGCAGCTTTCTGAGCGGAAATGTGTGTGTCCTCTAGATTCTACCCCCTGCCCCACCAGCTGAGGCCAACACCAGCTGCACGTGTCCCTGTTAGTTTGCTAACTAGCAGAGCACAGTAAATACCATCCCTAAGAACTTTCCAACTGTCAAGCTACCACAGATTACTCAGCTGCCTGGTGGGAACGGCTCACCCACTCCTGGAAACGTAAGAGCAGGCACATCCTCTCCATTTGTTTCTGATGACTTCTGCAAACCCATATAAAAAAGCAAAACAAGAACAAAACCAAAACTCTCTGATTTGGAATCAAATCACCTTTCTGACCTGGAGGGTAGGGAGAATATGCCTTCAAGGCAGGCAAAGGGGGAGAATTCTGGGCAAAGGGGAGGGGTGTTGGTGAGAGAGGCGGAGGGCAAACTTGGCAGACTGACCTAAGAGTTGCTGCTCAGAACCCACTAAGTCGAAACACATGTGCCACTTTGTGATGGAAAGTCAAGCTTTGCTAGTTGACAGGTCACAGTATATTCTGCTTGAAAGAACCTTTGAGAAACAAGATGTGCGTTCCTCACATGACAGCAAAAAATCTAAGCTCAGAGAAATGGAGTGACTTGGTCAAGAGTTCGGGCCAGTATCTGCACCTAAAAGCTCCCAACTCAGTCCAGTGTTTGTTTTTTGTTTTTTTCTACAGAGACCGCGCCTAGCCCTGGCCCCATACCCTGGTACTGTGGCCAAAAATTGCCAAGAGACCCTTCTGGTTTGAGAATTGGTGGAATGTTAATCACGATCTTGTTCTGACTTCCTCTTAGTGTAAAACAGTGTCAAAGTGTCAAAATACTTCTCCAATCTTTGTTTGCTCTATGTGCAATAAAGGGCCGATGTTGTGACTGTGACCGTCATGGTAGAAGTTTCAGGAGAAGCAAAGGAGGGCATGTGCACAGTGACACGAACACGAGGAGAGAGGTGCTGATGCGAGCAAATATGTCAGACCTGCTGAAACTGCTTATGACATGGGTTTTAGATGTATGTGAGTTAATGAAAGTTTAGAGAAAATCCTGCTTTGATGTAGTTAGTACAAAAGAGTTCATTCTTATCCCTAAGGCCAGGCTTACAAAAGGAATCCATTATATGAAGTATGCTTCTCCAACTACTGAACCCAAGATAAGCCTAACAAAATTACAATCAGAACACAAAACTTTCCATTACTAACCATATGCTGCTAAGGTGAAAGTCAAAGTGCTGAGCGACTCAACTAGGCGAATGAAAAAAAAAAAAAAAGCAATGGAACAAAGCAGTGCATTTCTTTTAGGAGCTGTGGCTTCAGCAACTTTTAATCTTTTTGTTTTCCTTCCCATGGTTGAGTAAGCTTGGGAGGGGGTTGGGGGATGGAGCTAGCCATCAGAAGATCTGATCATTTCTAGGGGAGAGGAAGAAACCACAGGCTGACTGGGACACCAAGGTGTGGATGATCTATGGGACAGCCCGAGAAGCCAAGATGCAAAGCTAGTGCTGAACTTGAATTGGTATTTACACATGGATAGAGTATGGTAGATGTTTCATACACAGACAAGATATGGAATAAAATTACTGTAATTCTTCAGGAGAGCCTGAAAGGCTGTAAGGATAAAATTCCACTTCCAGAATAAGCCATGGGAAAATGGTAGGCCGCTAGGTAGGTGGCCAGTCTCAGCAAATGTACTGGCATTAGTTTTGCTACTAATAACCAGTGCTTGTGATGTACTTCTGAGAGATTTCCTGATCATTCCTTAGTAAGAAAGATTATTTCTTAGCAAGAAGCAACTCCAGAAAGTCCATACAGGACAGCCTGGGGCAGGGCAGCCATGGAATCAGAAGGTAGGGAGCCTAAGGAATGTGCCTTAAACCTACGTAGTTGTATAGCAAGGGGTTCGTGCTCACTCAAGACAGCCTGTGAAGAAATGGAGGGGATGAGGGTTGGTGGAGATGAGTTCCATCACTGACAAGACTGAAAACAGCCTCAGTGATCAAGACCTGGGTCTGGAGCCTGGCTTTGCCAGATAGCAGGTCTATAAATGCATTATTTAAACTCCCTGACACGCACTGCTCTTTGTAAGTAGGGAAGTAGGTGCCTACTTCCTCAAGTCATTTTGAGATGTGAGATCATACCTGCAAAGCACTTGCTTAGCACAAAAGCTGGCACATAGCAATTGCTTAATAAACTTTAGCTGAAAAGAGGCAGGAGGAGTGGACAGACTGGGAATCTTGTACAACTTTGCTTCAACCCAAACAAAGGAGGGCGTGTTTCTTCAAAGCACCTTTGTCATGAGTGTACTGGAGAGAAAGATCAAGGATTACTGGAAATGCAGGAATCCTTAGTAATGAACAATCACTTGGGGATCCTTGGATGGTCATGTCCTCCCACTAGACCAAAGCAGCTCAAGAAAAAAAAAAATTCTAGTTGGTATGTTCTATACTGAGTTCAGTTCCATGGGCAAGGGGCAGGTGAGAGGCATGGAATACTGCCTGCCCTTAATACTCTTGGCCTAGAATTTGGAATGAGTTTGGACCAGGCTGTTTATAAAAGGAGCTTTCATTTTAGGAGGTCAGTGCCTTCTCCATTAGGCTACTGGGGCTTCACATAGCTACTTTTCATCTTAAGGCAAAGTATTTCTGTAGCAACCTAAAGACGTTCTAAGCCTGTTTGGGGACGCCCACACACCTGCCACAAGAGGCCTTTGTGGCGCACGTTTGTACTACACACAGCCTAGCAGCAGTTTCCATGTTGTCAGACTTAGCATATTTTTCGACTCCTTGGTAGGACAAGCATCTCTTGGAACTCTTTCTTAATGCAGCTCCCATAACACTGTTTACACTCTTTCCCTCTCTTGACACCACCTTCTCTTTCAAACTGAATCATCATGGATAAAAGACCAGGAAGCACCCATTCAAAAGAGGAGCACGAGTCTAAAAGAGTTATTCAGAGGTATATCATGGGAAGGGAAGAATAAGATGTGGAGAAATTCCATTACTTGTGCTATTTCTCAATGCATTAGACTGAGCCATACATGGGAATCGTTTTCAAACATTTCTCACTTAAAAAAAAAGACAAATTAATATTCAGTCAAATATCTCAGCAAATTTCTCAGGCCCAGCCCTAGACACAGGTGTCGGATCTCAAAAGCTCTGGAAGAGGCATAGGAAGAGCAATGAGAACAATTGTAAGCAATGCAAATTCTAGGATTATTCAAATTCTGTCCCCTGATTTACCTTCTCCCCATTTGACTCTCTTACTCTCCTCTCCCCTTCTACTCAAAGATAACTTGTGAGCTTCTTCTAGATATAACATTTGGAGTCTATCTTAAAAGGACACGATATTTAAAATAGGTCATAAACCAACAACAGTAACAACATACAAGTTACATGTAAGTACAGGACGGCGCTGTCCGACCCCAGACCGTTGTCCACCTGCACCGTCACTCGGAAAATGCCCACGTTGTGATAGACGTGTTTGATGCCATCTTCCATAGAGCTCAGGTTGACGTACGACACTGCAATTCCATCACCAAAGTCCACTTGGATGAGTGTCCTCTGGACGTCACCCTGAAAAACAGGCCAACATCAGAAAGGGGGAGTTGGTGCCTGCTGCCTTTACTCTAGGGGCTTATCCCCTAGTCCCTGGCTCCGGGATAATGGCAGACTGGCTCCCTCCTATAGCGAGAGCATCTGTGTATGTTTGCAGAGCCCCGTGACATTCCCTGGCAGACAGGAGCTTACCAAGATGGGCGTTCTCCACATCTGAAGGGCACCGGTGACTACCAGTTTCAAGGTTTGGAAAATTAAGTGTTGGATAATCAGCTCCAATCTGATATTCAATTTCTCAGAGGTATTTGTTTATACTCTTAGCGTCCACATGAATAAAAGGCACACACACACAGCTTTAAAAAAATTCAGCCTACCTGACATGGTTACAGACCTCTTCTATGTGTTCGGGACCCCTTATTTCTGGCTCCCTAACCATGTGAGAAGAAGCATGAAAGACATCTTGCCTCACACCTGATATGACATTGGACTCGGCCCTATTATTAAGATAATGACGGTTAATTCTTTTATACTTCCGTATTTTGTGCTATCAAAATGATGACCTTTTATTCTTCATAGAATCTTAGTTGGGAGAGAGAAAAAGGCCAATATTCATCCATTTTACAGGTGGAGAAGCTGAAAGTTTTAATCACCCGTTCAAGGTTAACATAGCTAATCAGCAGCAGATCTGGATTTGAACCCATCTCTCTGGATTTGCATTTCATTCATTACAGGTGAGTAAAGCAAGGATGGCTCCCTGTGCTTGGATCGTGGTATGCCATTAACAAGCTGCATGACTTTGTGCAAGTCATTCAGCCTCCTTGGGTCTCAGTTACCGCATCTATGAAATGGGCATAAGAATACCTTACTTTCTTAAATTGAAAGGTTGTTCTGCGACATGTGAGCTAATCAGTCATCTGTAAAATTCTGGTTCCAAATAAATTACTGTCAAAACAACCCAGCTGTGAAGGACGAGCACTATATCCCTTTTTACAGCAGTAGCAGAATCCTACAATTCTAATGTTCCCACCAGTAGGCAAGGAGAAGAGGGGTAAGTTCTGCTTTATGAAATCCTGGACCTGTAAGAAAAATGCCTTTTGGAGTAACAGCAGAGATTATTCAGGAACAAAGTTTCTTAGACCTGACAAAAAACAGCTTCCTTCCCATGCAGCCCACCCTTTACCTAGTTTCAAGTTTTCTGTTGGTTGTGTTAGCCTTTTCCATTTTCAGGAGGGGAAAAAAACCTAAAAAAAACCAAACCATCTTTTATTTATTTATTTATTTATTTATTTATTTATTTATTTATTTATTTTTTGCATCAGCTTTTTTCAATTTTTATTTCTTTATTTTTTTAATGTTTTTTTTTTTTTTTTTAATTTCTAGGAGAGAGAGAGAGACAGCGTGAGCAGGGGAGGGTCAGAGAGAGAGGGAGTCACAGACTGAAACAGGCTCCAGGCTCTGAGCTGGCAGTCAGCACAGAGCCCGAAGCGGGGCTCGAACCCACGAACTGCGAGATCATGACCTAAGCGAAAGTCGGACGCTTACCTGACTAAGCCACCCAGGCGCCCCCCAAACCATCTTTTAAATAAAAAAAATTTCGATTAAGTAAGGTTCATATGGTATCATATTTTTTGAAAAGGCCAAGTTTAAAATGCTGACATTTAAAAGATTAATTCACAAGGAAAGGAAAGGTAGTTTTTTCATAGTTCACATCCTATGAATCTCTCTGACCTACTCATCTGATCTATGCCCAGCCAAGCATTGTGTGGGGGACACATGATGGCTAACTGTCGGTAAGGGAATGGGCAAGCATTCTCCTGCAGGGTGGGAGAAACAATCCGTTCACAACTACAAGACAAATGATACACAAGCCCAGATATTCTGCAATTTCCTGAATTCCCTTCGCTAATAAATACAAATGTCAACCATTCTTGCTCACTCGTCATTTTTTTTTTTTAAATGTTTTATTTATTTCTAGGAGAGAGAGAGAGACTGCGTGAGCAGGGGAGGGTCAGAGAGAGAGGAAGTCACAGACTGAAACAGGTTCCAGGCTCTGAGCTGGCAGTCAGCACAGAGCCCGACGCGGGGCTCGAACCCACGAACCACGAGATCATGACCTAAGCGAAAGTCGGACGCTTAACCGACTAAGCCACCCAGGCGCCCCTCCCTCGTCATTCTTTTGCACAAATCAGACGATCAGCGTCCCATGCTGTTTCTGGATTTTCTGGTCAGCTCTCCCATGTTTTTTGGATTTTCAGCAGAGTTGCTGTCAGCCAACCATAGGTACGGGCAAAGAAGAAGAAACCGCCTTAAGATCTCACATCATTTGGGACAAGCATCCCAGGAAGTTATCAGGAATAGCTAGGGTTAGCTGGGTTAACCGTGGAACAAGTCAAGCAATATAATTTCTGAGACAGCGAGATAGTGAGCTAGCAGGAGAGCTCAAGCAAGCTAGTGCACAGGCTCTTGTGTAGGAGGGAGGAAGAGGAAGGGAGAAAAGAAAGGACAGAGAGGGACAGGGAGAGAGAAGGAAAGAGAGAGGGGAAGGAGTTAGAGGGAGGGAGGGAGGCAGAGAGGGAGACAGAGACAGACAGACAGACAGACAGACAGAGAGGTTTAGGGGCACCTGGGTGGCTCAGTGAGGCTTCAGACTCTTTTTTTTTTTTTTTAATGTTTATTTATTTTGAGAGAGAGACAGGGTGTGAGCAGGGGACAAGCAGAGAGAGAGGGAGACACAGAATCCGAAGCAGGCTCCAGGCTCTGAACTGTCAGCACAGAGCCTGATATGGGCTCAACTCACAAACCATGAGATCATGTCTTAAGCTGCAGATGGCCACAAAACTGACTGAGTCACCCAGGCTCCCCAAGTGTCCAATGCTTGATATTAACTTAGGTCATGAACTTGTGATCATGAGATTGGGCCCCCATATCGGAGCATGGAGCCTGCTTAGGATTCTCTCTATCCCAATCTCTCTGCTCACCCCCCCATTTACAAGGGCTCTCTTTCTCTCTCTCTCTCTACCCCCCTCTGACATGAGTGTAGACCCCTTGGCTTGGTACTCTGCACCGAGAGCCAAGAACTCCAAGGGCCAAGGTAGATTTCATTACTGCTGTTGTAGCATTCTCCACTCAAGCAGAACAAACTAGATGTCACCCTTTTGACCTCAGAGGCTTTCAGGTGCTTCATAAGCCTAACACGGCTGTAACTGCATCTCTTTGGGGCTTGTCAGTCATCAGCTTCTGACTTCCTCGGGCTATAATTACCATCTGATACAGAGATGCCAAGTCCTTTCAGAAAACATGAAACAGGGCAAAGGCAAGACAGCCTAAGTCCTCGATCACAATTTGATTAGGCATACTCACCCTGCTTTAACTGGCTTTCTGGTGCTGGTGGGTCATTCATTTAACCAACCAACCAACCAACCAACCAACCAACCAACTGGCAGATGTTTGCTGAATGTCTGTCTATCTTGTGTCAGGCATGAAATGGGGGAAATGATGGTAAGTAAATTATAACAACCAAGCAGAACAGATGTGGTCTAGAGTTCAGTGAGACAGATTAAATAATTACACATAAATAAAAAGTTATTACAGGGAATGACATGGTGTTGCAAGTTATATAGTCGGGAGATGTGGAGAGCTAAAAATCAGATCTGATTGAAAATTTCAAGGAAAGCATCCCAGATAGTTATATCTGAGCTGTGATGACCTTAAGGGAAGAAATAACTAAACAAAGGACACTAGTGAGTGAGATGGAGGTGAGGAGTCCAGATGTGAAAATGACCTGTGGCAGAACAGGGGTGGTACAGTCAAAGGAAGCTAAACATAAAGACACAGTAGGAACACAGTATGAAGTTAGACTAAAGAGGAGAAAAATTACATTTTGGGGCTTGTGGCTGAGTTTCTGATTTTTATTTTTTTTCCTAAGAGCAATGGGAAGCCATTAAAGTGAGGTTTAGTGGAAGATGGCATGAGGATGGTTTTAATTTAAAAAGATCACTCTGGTTACAATATGGAGGATGAACTGGAAGGAAGCCCAAGTATTCTGGGAAGCTAATTAGGGGGTAGCTCAGGGTAGATGATGGTAGATTGAAATATGAATTCCAGCAGGAAATTACATGTACCTTCCTGTCAAAATTAACTCCCATCATGTATTGGTTTTGAAAGCAGTGAATCTCAGATTTTGATATCAGCATCTCTTATAGAAATTAAAAGAAAAAGTGCTGATGCCCAGTACCACTCAAGACCCCTCCCCTCTTGGCTCAAGGACCCTGGAGATATTCAGTGCTGTTGGTGTCTGAGAAGGTCCAAGGAGGATGCTGGGCTGCACCAAAGGTTAAGGCCTGTGTGGGATCAGATTGTTGGATAGTACGTTTTCTCATCATTTAGTCTTTCTGAAGATGAGTATAGTACAGAGCAAGCTGATGCTATGCTCCTTTCGTCTCAGTATGGTGGCGAAGCTTTCCCAGGATGTTTTAGGATTCTAAGTGTGAAAGGTACACTAATAAAGTCAGGAATGAAAGAACAATTGTTGCAGCTGTTCAGTGTCTCGTGTACAATTACACACAAAAATTCCACATTACGTGCAGTCAAGATTAGTTAACTTCTGTAGGAAAACGAGTTGTTGGATAATCCACAAGTAGTTTGTATAAACTCCTGAGTGCTGAGATGTGTTCTTAGTGGCTGTACCCTCAGTGCCTAACACAGGGTCTGCAGATCACTCTTTTAATTCAACAAATTTGGAATACTGTGCATTTGTTTGTTCATCAAAGTGCTTCCTTATATACTAGCTCAGTTGGCTGTTAGGAGTCCAGGGAGATAGCAAGGCAAGATGTTCTTTTGATCTGCTATGCCAGGAGAAGTGAGGCACAGACAGGTTAATAAGATGCCTGAACTCCCACAGGTAGTGTGACTTTAGGGTTTAAGATGAACTGTGGTTTAACTTTATCCATGCAGTTCAGTCCTTGGTGAACTTCCTTAGGTGGAACTTGTAATAGTTTTCAGAGTGAGAAAAAGATGAT